ATACACCACATTGTTAAGTTTGTGTTTTGGCGTTTTGTCTTTCGGGTGAACCAGTTTCTGTCTGAGCGTGTTGCTGGGTCTGAAATACACTGGGATGTCATGCTTGGAGAAAACTCTCCTGAGTTTCTCTGATACACCGGCTACATAGGGGATGACAATGTTGTTGCGTCTGTCCTTCTTATCCTCCCTCGCTTCTCGGATGAGAGGTGAAACGTCTTCAAGCAACTTAAAGAAGTCCAGACGCTTTTCTTTCCAAGCTCCTTTGACTACGATGACCTGGATGACTGAGAACCTTCACAGACAAAATTAAAAGTTGTTGTTTTTGTGGCTCGAAAAATTAAAGAAAGTATGTTTAATAATTCAACAAGACCCGCACCTTCAACACATGTACATTCAAATTTTGGAACAGGCTCAACATTGCTGTTGTTCAAAAGTTTTTATCCGTTCGAAAAAGTCATTTTACGGCTTTAATGTTTCCAGCTGATAAGGAGAATGAGTGCATTTCAAATGTGCGTCCAAAGGCTTTAAACATCTGCTTTGTCTGTAACGCCAGTATCAAACTACAGAGCATTGTTTTTACTAAAATTCAACATTTTCAGATGAAAATTTGGCTGCTTTTTGGGGGTTTTTTTCACTGTAACACCCCCCTCAATGCCATTTTTAGGATATTCTTGGTGATCCTATTTTTTCATATTTATGCTTTTGGCACTGAGGGTATCTAATACGCACATTGTCACTGTGTTTTGTACTACCAGCTGTGAGGGCTCTGCTTTTGCTTTGAGCAGTCTGTTTTTATTTTTTCTCGTGAGTGTGTGTGTTTTTCAAACGAGATCCTCGTCAGTTTGATTTTGTTACCACAAACTTTGTGTGAAGTTCACAACAGAGGTAAAGAGATTTAAACACCCCAGTTTAAGGAGGCAGGCAGGGGTTGGACCAGCTGCACAGGGCTGGTGAAGCAGAGAGTGTCCGGGGAGATGTGCAACAGAAGCAGAGGGAACATTTTACAAGATGATAAATGGCAGATTTAGATGATTAAGGATTTGTTGACAAGATTAAAAGACACGTCCGTCAGAGTTCAACAACATTACAGTTTGATTAAATAAAAAAGTTTTTAGACTACACAAGGTTCATTTTCTCCTCTGATAGTAAGCATATTAAACATGTCAAGAAAGAAAGAGTATAAAGAGGGGGGTGGGGGGGCAAAAAAAGTATAGGTATATCACTACTAAGCAGTCTGGGACTGCATACCATTGTCAAGGCTGCAAATTCCTTCCACACAAACTAAGATATGGACATCTGTATCCATATTAATATATCTGGATGTGTTTTGGGGTTTTTTTTTCTTGGTTTTGTTTTTGGAGAACATTTTGCCACTCCAACCTGTGTGGTGCTCTGTCTCATAATGGTAAAGAATCCTTTATAAAAGTCATAGATCCAAAGTTTCCACTAAATTGGATCAGGGCGCTCTTGTGCCAGTTTGTAGCAAATATCTTCATAATTTTGAGTAATTCTGTCCAACAAACAGACAACAAACTGAACCAACTGGATAATTGTAGGTGCCAACCATACTGGAAGCTATAGTTTCCCTGGAAAAACTGTGCAGTCATGAAAATTGTAATTCGTGGAGACAATGGGTTAAAACAACTCTATAAAAGAGGAACAAAGTGGATGGTATTTAGTCAAAGGGTATTGCACAATATGCCTCCTTAACTCAAGCCACAGTCAGTGAAAAGAAGCACAAAACAGTGACTGAATCATCAACTCAGTTCAGTTCAATTTTATTTATACAGCGCCAAATCACAACAACAGTTGCCTCTCAAGGCGCTTTATATTGTAAGGTAGACCCTACAATAATACATACAGAGAAAAACCCAACAATCATATGACCCCCTATGAGCAAGCACTTGGCAACAGTGGGAACGAAAAACTCCTTTTTAACAGGAAGAAACCTCCGGCAGAACCAGGCTCAGGGAGGGGCGGGGCCATCTGCCATTGGGGAGAGAGAACGAAGACAGAATAAAAGACGTGATGTGGAAGAGACCCAGAGATTAACACCAACTGTTTTTCAGAGGAAATGTGGCTGAATATGACTTTCTGGTTTAACTGGCCTTCAAGGCTCAGAGCATAACTCCTCATTATGGTTTTACCAGGCAGCACTGACAGGACATACATTTTTCATAAAAGGACAAAAATCAGTTTGAATGACCTCTTTGACCTCTCTAAGAAACCATTTTATTAACTTTCTCAAGCTTTGCATTTTAGCTCAGATCAGCTGTAAAATATTCCACGCTCAGGCCCGCTGTGGACCCTCAGCCACGGGTTGATTGGAGCTCATGGCCAGACTTTGAAACAATCCTCAAAAATGACCAGGTCACTGAGAGACACAGCTGAGATGAAACAGGATGACCTTACACTTCTAAGCAATTTTTGAGAAACTGAAATCAAATTTTAGAGCAGTGATTCCCTGGATTTACATCACTGCAAAGTCACTCTTCAATATTGTCACATCAATGCTTTTATAATAAAAGCAACACCTACACAAACAGAAAAAATATTGGCACAGAAAATAAAATCAAAATAATTGTGGTACTTAATTACACATGTGAAGGGAAAATTAGAAAATTAGAGCTTTTACAGACAGAGTAATTAATGCCTCCCTCAACAATTTAAAAGACTGAAAAATGTACTCTTTACTGACACTTTCTACAATAAGCTGTGAAAGCACGATCACGCAGAGAATGCGTGTTTCATATGAGTTAGTGTGCTAAGCTGTTTTAAATGCAGTGCTGTACACTGGCAGCCTCAAGTGGTAAAAAAGAGGTAACTCACCAAAGTGAAGCCAGAGTCCAGGGAGTGACCTTATGGTCACTAACGCAACAGTCTAACATGTCTCATAAAGAAAGATCACAATGTCAAAACATTCAAAACAAGCCATGGCCAACGTGGGAGTCAACGCTTGTACTAATACGTGATAAATACACCGATCCAGCACGACATTATGTGTACTGGTTTGGTCCAGTCAAACAGACGAGCTATTGTAGCTGAAACTGTGGAAAAAGTTGCTGATCCTGAGAGACAGGTGTCAGAACACAAAGTGTATCACAGTTTGTTGTGTATATTATTGCATAGCCTCAAACTAGTCAGGGTGCCCATGCTGACCCTGTTCACCATCAAAAGCACAAACACTGAGCGCATGAGTATCAGAGCTGGACCGAGATGCAATGGAAGGAGGTGGCCTGACGTGATAAATCATGCTTTCCTTTACATTACATGGATAAAAGCAAGCCGGAGGAGGCAGTGTGATGCTTTGGGGAATGTTCTATGTCGACTAATTTCACATAATAAAGCTACAAGACAGAAACAGTTTTAATCTTCTGTGTTTCCCTTTGTTTAAAATGTACCTTGCCTCACAGCTCATATGGCCTCTAGTCTGACTTAAGGCCATTTAAAATGTTCACATTTTTTTATTTATCTATTTATTTTGCATAGTATGTTCTGAGATTAACAGTGAACCATTAAGAACGACTGGTACTTTGCAGGCTGCATGCAAAAGCAGAAAGTAATTATAGCATGAATACCGACATACATTAGAGCAGCCTCAGAACTGACCAGAGTTCAAACGATACAAAAATCTGTTGAAAGGCTGTTAGAGTTGATCAAAGTTATGCAGACTTGTGTAAAACATTTAGCACAATGAAAACAAAAAGAAAAAATATGACGATAATAACATGATAATGCAAAGGGAATTCCAAGAAATTGGATGGGATGCTTTATAAGATCTGCACATGGTACAAGGACACTCTCCTGATTTTATTTTGTGAAATAATCTGAATAAATGTGTACAGAAGAAGATACAGGACATACCCTCACAACAACACCTACAGCCAATTTAGAGCAGCCGGCAGGGGGAACCTGGATGAATCCAGCATCAGCTCAAGGGGAGCATCCAAACTCCATAAAGAGTCACAGCTGAGCAGGAGTTTCAAACTCGGAACATTCTTTCTGTGAGGTGATGGTACAATGCTGCCAAAATAAACAATAGAGGTGGGTATTTTGCACAAAACAGTAATACAGAGGCTTAATGGGTGGTGTGTGAGTTAGCTTCAACCATTAAACATCCCCAAAAAATGTGGAGCGACTTGTAAGTTTTTTACTAAACGTGAATGAAAATGAGCGATCACAGAGGGTTCAATCTTAAGAGACTCTTAAGAAACAAATATCAGAAGCTTCTTAGTGGGACTGTAGTCACATGTAGGTCTGTGTAGCTTCTCAGTCATCCAGGTCACGGCAGACCTAGGAGCTTTAAAAAGAAGGTGACTGGACTTCTCTAAGTTTGTTGAAGAAGTTTCACCTCTCATGCAAGAGGCTTCTTCAGTTCTAAAGAATTAATTACATGTAAGTTTTCATATGATTATATTGTAAGTGCTAAAACGTTAACTTGAATAGAATCTGCTTAAATGAAATTTACTTGATTGTATAAATCAAGTTTATACTTAATGATTCATGATTTTAATTAAAAAAAAAACCTTTGATGTTATAAATTTCAGTTGCATTTTACTGAAACTCGTTGCTTTGTGCGTGCGTGTCTAGGTTGCTCTGTGGAGATTTATTCCTGTCATGCTCTTTACCTTCTTTTTACGATATCTGGCAGTTCAACATGAGCATCACTGGCGCACAGCTGGTGTTCTGTGGGCCTTGGTGGACTCATGCTTTTGCTGTGCTCCTTTTTTGCAATCATGAACTCAGAACAGGTGAAGATTGCGCGGAAATCACAGAGATAAAGTCTGGACTCCATCACAGCACCGAGGTGGTCTCTTTTATTACACGACAAACAGCTCCTGAGGAGTAACGTGTGCGGACACACACGCACTCGGGGGCTTAATTCTCCGTGTTGGAACACAGCTCAGTTTCCGAGCCTCCTCCTATTGCGCGCTAAGCTCCGAGAAGGCGTGTCCAGTGACGTCTCCGAATGGGACAAACCTTAAACGTAGGATTTGGTGGACTGGAGAGGGACTGAGTGGAAATATTATTGACACACCATCAAGGAAAAAGTTCGTGGAGGAATAACGCGGAGGAATAAGAGCCGAGGTGCACGTGCCGCGTAGTTTATAGTTTCACTTTTACGCTTTCGTTTATTGAGTGTTTGCGGCGACTTTGACGTTTAACCCAAAGAAGTAAAGCGGCAGACACAGCAGCTGATATGTTCCCGTGACAGGTTCGTGAAATGGAGAAAAGTAAGATGTGATTTCTTTTCCACTGAGATGAGCAGAGAGTGACCGCAGCGCGGAAGGGAGGAGTGAAACTGACCGGATCGTTCCCAGTGTAACAGGTGCATCTCTGCTCGGTTCAACAGTCAATTCTGATTGTGCTCTAACCGACCAACTTTACCGATCTCAGAGAGTTCATGGTTTGACTGACATGGGTAAAACTGCTGCGACAGACTTTCTGCCAATAAAGGCAAAAGGTTCAATTAAGCTTAAATTTACTGTGTAGGAGATGTGTAAGCATAAAATATCTCATTGTATTGCTCTCAACCATAAAATATGCTTTTGCAATTATGAGGCGTGCAGTGTGAGCAGAGTTGAAGAGAGACATGTGTAACATTTACTGTCACATTACAGTAAATGTAGTTTGCTCAGTTGTTAGGGAATTTTAAGAGGTAAGACTGACATTTTTCTGAAAAGGTTTGGTCTTTGGTTGCGGACTGTATTGGCTCACAGCACAGAGGTTGGTATAGATTACATAAAATAAAAAAAGTTGAATTAGGAGAAAAATCATACCACTTAACCTTTTGGGTTGCCATTAGTTTAATGTGGCTCTGATAGGAAGAAGCCAGGCTTTTTCACGCAGTCAGTGAAGAGAAGTTGAGACTTTTGTCATCACCAGCAAAAATGAAGGGTTTTTTTTGTTTTAATTTTCTAAAACTTTCCCAGACACATCAAATAATAAAAAGAGTGGAGCTGTAAAGGCTCCTGCTGATGTTTTGTGCCCAATTTCAGTATCTTATTCAATGAAATGTTTTAATTGCGATTCCTTGTATTTGTCAGAATTTGTATTCAACCCGTAAAGGACAAAAAGTCAACAAAAGCCCCCAAAACAAAATAAAGGAAGCAGGTATATATATATATATATACACAAAAAGGCAAAAATTAGTTAATATTTTTCATTAGATTTTGTCATTCTAGTTCCATCTTTTAAAAACTCCATTCTAAAGAGGATTCTGGTTTAATTTGTCCTTCTTCACAGTTGTACTGCATTCACTTTAAATCTTAAATCTTCCTCTGTGCAGCTAAAATGTATAGATTTAAAAAACAAACGGTGGTTGTGAATCAACCCAGTCACATTAGTTAATCAAACATCTCCTACATAAAATAAAGACATGTTCTTAGACTCATCCTGCAGATGCCTGATACGTGTGTGTGTGTGTGTGCGTGTGTGTGTGTGTGCGTGTGTGTGTGTGTGTGTGTTCTGAACCTTAAATGTGGCTTTGCTGTATTTTCAAGTTTCCCTTTTCTTAATCCTGTCCTCTCAGGAGCGTGCATTAAAGGCGTTCTTCCACGTCTTATTACAGCATTGCTGTGGTTTTTATGTGAGGATTTGCACTCTAATCTTTAGACGGCCCTGGCGATTAGTTTATCACATCAACAAAACTGACTATCTGCTTGTGTTCTTCAGGCCACACAGTGGATGTAAGCCTGGCAGCCTCCTCTCCGCAGCCTTGAGACTGCTCACGGTGTAATTATAATCTGGCTGTTACTGTAAATACCAGATTCCTTTTCCACTCGCGAATAACTTAGCTGTGTGGGAGATGAAAATATGCACGTGTGTGTGTGTGGAGGGGAGGATGGAGGGAAGTCCTGCCGTTACTAGAAATAAGATTTCAGGCTTGGTGTACATCCCCTTCCGATCTCCGGTTTTCATTCCCATTGAAAAGAATTCCACAGTTTGGCAACGAAAACTCTTCAAGGTCACTCTGCTCCCCCCAACCCCCACCTCCTCCCAATGCAGCCCACAGGTCGTCCGTCACCCGATATACACGAGAACACTATGTGACTAAAACATGGCACTAGTGAGCCCATAAGAGGTGTGCTGCAGTCTTCTCCCTGCAGGCAGGTGTAGCACCAGTAAGAGGACTGTGTGCCGTGCTTTGTAGTGCCACGGAGAGAAGAAGATCGGAGTGGGATCAAACTGCACATGTTCAGAATGCTCGATAATGATTCATTTCAGAAGGAAACTAGTTTCATTTGGCTTCTGATGTCTGTTAATCTGAAACTGGGCGTCAAACTCGTGTATTGAAAGTTGCAGACTGACAGGTTTTTTGCTTTTGTAACGTCGAATCCTTGATGGTTGTCCCGCCCTTCTCTCATGGGGTACACATGTTAACAGACGTTTTATAGATGCTGAATAAAGCCGCTGCCTCGTGAAAGATATAAGTTTTGGAGTGTGCACTGTTTAAATATGCAGTGCAGTCTTCTTTAAATTAGTGCACGACTATGACCCAAATGCGTGTGGTGTATACATTTACAAAAGTTGTAACGTGACAATACAGTATTTTGCTTTACTTTTATTTTATACGTCTAAAACAGTGCTCTTCCTTGCTTTGGATTCTTCCTGTCCACAATCTGTTTCATGCTAAATACACACTGAAGAAAATTAGGCTGTCTGAAAGGATTAAGAATAACAACTGTTTTTTGTTGTTGTTGATCATCATAAATAAAATGCTGATGATTTTACATTTAGTCAGACTGATGAAACCTGTCAAAGATCCTTGCACTTTAAGGCTCACTCAGTGTGCTGGTCTATTACCCGCCCTCTCCTTGTGTTTGCTTCCTCTCCCTTTTCTTTGCTCTCTCTCCTTCCTCCTTCACTCATCCTCTCCCTCTCTCAGGTGTGGCAAGTGAGAGCGCTTAGTGATAGCTTTGTCCTTTATTTGACGGAGGACTGGTGTTCTAGAATCTGGCGTCTTTATTAGGATTTACTTGTAATTTAGCTTTTCTTATTGTGTTGCTTTTGGGAGGGAAACAAGTCTTGTTGGCAATTTGAACCTTGGGCATGGCATCCTCTTTATGGATGTACTTCGTAATGAACAGTGTTACTGCTGATGCTTTGATCATTAGCCGATCTGCTGGTGATTGCTTGTTGGCTTGTGGAGGCACTATCACGTGTTATTTTTTTATATATCAAAGAATGAAAGAATTTATTTATTAGCTGGGGTTTTAACTGACTTTAGGGTTATTTTTTTCTTGTTTTCTCTTTTTTCGCCATCTATTTTGGCACATTTTAGCTTTGATGAATAATTGATGACATGCTTTGAGATATATTTCAGACTGAAGAACAGTACTGGTGGATATAAACCTGCATGTGTGTGTGTGTGTGTGTGGGTGCAGATTGTTTTAAATGTATTTATTATTTAATATATTTTATAGGTGGAAACTTACAGGAATTGTTGATTTGCCATTTAGAATTTTTATAGCTCGCCCAGGATTTCAAATGCATCCAGCTAAACTACATCTTGAAAAGGTGGATTATTTGATGATCTTATATTACAGATTATCTTAATTTGGCTCATAATCTGCTTTCCATGAAAAAAAAATCTTAGCAGCCAGGAATAGCACAGTTCTCCCATCATATGAGCCATGCGAGTTGTCACTTCCAGTTAGAACTTGAATAGAAATCAAAGCAAAAGCAGGTTGCACAGATTTGTGAGTTGGCCCTTTTAGCATTTAGTTGAAGTGACCAGCATTGTATCCAGGCAACCATATGAAAAACCACTCATGTGATTACCTGACTTCAACTAAATCTGTGGGGAAAATTGTGAATCATAGTGTGATTCCATCCCAAAAAAGAGAAAGCTGACTGCTTCGAAACGAAGCACAGCGCCACTGTGTCAGTAAACCTCCTCATCATTGGCACATTTATAACTGGTGCACAGAGTTTAGCTGAGATTTCCAGGTTGAACAGCATTGTTTAACTGAAACAACAGACTTTAAGTAGCTTTGCTGATTTTTGGTGGAAATGTATGTGTTACCGTTATTAGAAGCAATTTGGCACCTTAAAATGGCACTGAACACAATGAATGGGTTTTGTTAGATGTCGGTACCTCAGGTAAAAAGTTTGACCTAATTCTGCAACAATCAAAGTAATGGTAAAGAATCCATATTTTGAAAAGGTTAACTTGTTAGTTGTTAGTTTACTAGTTGTTAATTTTTAGCTGCTTCCCATTTACATTTAACAAAATAAGTATAATAAATTTAAGAGATTTTTTTTCATTTTATCAATTATTTAGATCATTCCTTTATGCCCTGTGAAGGTAAAATATATTTTAAAAACACTGGTATACAAAGGATTCAACAAACATCACAGGTCTTTCCTCCCCACTGCTGTCAGACTCCATAATAAAGACTTTAACTGATCAAGCACACACATCCATACATATGCAATAATACTAAGTGCAATAATCCTTTCTGTCATCGTTGTATTTTTACTCAGTTGTATATAGTATTTGTATTTGTATTCTATTTTTATCTTATTGTATATTTATTTTATTTTATTCTACTGTATATAGTATTTTATTTTATTCTATTCTGTACAGTTGTGTACTGTATTTATTCTTATTGTATTCTAATTTTTGCCTCATAACTTTTGCACTGTCCACTTCCTGCTGTGACAAAACAAATTTCCCACGTGTGGGACTAATAAAGGTTATCTTATCTTATCTTATCTTATCTTATCTTAATACATCTAAATAATTTCATTACTATAGAAGAAGAGTGTTATGGAAGCCTTATAAACTTTGGGTAAAGTGTGGTATAAAAACAAAAATTAAACAAAGATATTAAACACAGAGTGCTGACTTTGAAAGAAAGAAAGACTGGCTGCCACAAAACAAGTAGCACGTTTGAATAAATTATTGTTGTTATATTATTATTGTTAAAGTTTATCATCTTGGGCGTATTTGCCTGCAGCCGGCATCTAAAGTTCAAAACTGCTCTCCTTCACTTTGCAGTTCAGGCTACAAACAGCTGCTGACGCCTGAAACTGTCTCATTCGGCTCTGCTGTGGATTTAATTCAGTTTGCTCGGATTGGTTCTTGTCACTCTGGACTCTCTGTCTGACTCTTTAATACATATATTTGTATCTGAGTGTTGATGTTTTTTGACAACCTGACTTGGAGTAGGTGTATCTGATGACTTATGGTCATGCACTGGTGCGTGCGTTTATGACTTATTGTGCTGTTACTGGTGCTGCTGAGTGCTGCATTATTTTCACAGTTCACATTTGTAATGATTTCCGTTGAATTTGTGTTAAATGTAATCAGAAAAGTTATTG